GGAGAGGATGAAGAGATAAGCTCTCCTGCCTCCCTACCTCCCCACTCCCCACAAACCCCTCCATTTAGAAGGGGCAGAGACCGAGGATTAGCCCAGGGGCCTGATTGAACTCAAAACGGGGAGATGGAGCCCAGAAAGGCCGAAGTATCAAATACTTCAGGCTTCTGCTCCCTGTTCATGAGTGATAGCAGTTGGTGGGGGTCCCCACTAGAGGAGTGGGGGTCATTTTGGAGGAGGGCCAGGGCCTGGGCTGCCCTCCCCCAGGCTCAAGGTCTGTTCTCCGAGCTGCCTTTAGAACATGTACTGCTAGTCTTGCCTCCCTCTCTGAGCCAAGTCCTAGGGATTTATTTCAGGAACTGTTTCGCCCACTCTGCCTGACGTCTGTGAGAAACTGGGTGTTTAGGGAGTCCTCGCCATCTGCCCACCTCTGCCATCAGTCAGGCAGCCCCAGTGAGGCTCGATTCCCAGTTCTGGAAAGTCAGCCCTAGCTCACTCACCGCACCTGCAAATCCTCTGCCAACTTGCTATTGATTTTGTTTCTTGCCTCTCCAAAAGGAAGGGCGTTAATAATGTCTGCCCAACGCACTACACATTAGCTTGAAGTCTGGGGATGGCAGATGAGGAAGCTGGATTAAGTTTCCTTCCCCACCCAAGCCCTCTACATAAACACACACTTTGGCGGTATCTATGAAAACTTGAGATTACATATGCCCTTTGACACAACAATTACATTTCTAGGAATATCTTACAGGAGATCTCCCCCAAATGTACAAAGAAATAAGTGGAAGGAGGCCTCCCTGGTGGTGCAAGGGGTTAAGACACAGCACTATGACGCTATCCGCAGCCACTGCAGCACGAGTTCGGTCCCTGGCCAGGGAGCTACCCACATGGCGCAGCAGACCTCTCCTGTCTCCCCCGCTGCTCCCCTCAGCAGTGTATTTCAGTGGATCTGCCTGTTCTACTCCCCTTTCTGTCTCTGGTGAATTCTCTCACCCCCCACACCTCTGGCCTGCACTCCAGCTCTTGTATGCATAAATAAATAAATCTTTAAAAAAAGAAGAAAATAGTGGAAGGAGGTTCATTACTGTGGACATAATGTGGATTTAATGAAGGACTTAATTAGCAAGTGATGGCACACACATACAATGGAATCTCATGTAGTCATCAAAAAGAATGAGAAAAAAAATCCATATATCCTGACATTATTCATGCCCAAGACAGTAAATGAGAAAAGCAGAACTGTGCAACAATATGTCTTATAAAATGCCATGTGTTAAAGATACATACCTTTTTGGTACATGCAAAGCAAGAGCTATCTGGAAGCTGTATACAAAAAACATGCACATAAGACTTAACTAGTGCTAAAGTTTAGATTGGGGGTTCTCCATTTTCTAAGTTTCACAACAAAGATCGATTACTTTTGTAATCAGGCAGTGGAGTGAGGGAGTGTAAAAAAAATTATTTTTACAGGAAGGAAGAACAAATACCCTCCTCTGCCTTCACCAGGGGAGGAGGTCCCATAACATCCTCCCACAAATTCCACAGCCATAGTCCTGCAGATGGCCTCGGAAATCATGTCTGGTACAGACTGCCCACCCCTTACTGCCCAGCCCTGTGCTGGTGGGCCCCCCCTTAACTGCCATCACACCCACCCACATCGACTCACCAGCCTCCACTCAAAGAAGGCCTGTACTGGAGAACAGCCCGTCCTTTGCACTCCTGGCCCTGGGGAGGAATTCAGAACTCCCCAGGATGGAGGTGTCCGACTCAAGAAAGATTTGAAAGGACACATGGTCAGTGTAAAAGGAGGGTGGGGGCTTTTGCCCAGATTTGAGCCCAGAGCTCTGCTAGGCTTTGGAGTTAAAGCTCCCGTTCCTCAGGAAGGGGCCTGGGGGATGGAAATCCCATCCTCAGTCTCATCAAGGAGGAAAGGGAGGGGGTGGAGGACAGAGCTCTTAGATACTGGACTTGCTTCCCATCTCCTCTCTCCTCTTGCCTGCTGCCTGGAGTACAGAAAGCCAGCCTGGGAGGTGTGTACCACCAAGAAGCTGTGTGACCTTGGGCAGGTTGCTGCCCTCTCTGGGCCTCAGGGACATCTTTCCTTCTTCTCTGTGTTTTCTTTTCCTAGGTGTGTACAGCATAGGGGGCCTGGAGGAAGGTGAGGGGCCACGACCATCTTTGGCCTCGTGAGGAGGGACTCGGGACAGGGGACACCCCAGGAAGGTGCCCTCTATCTGGACTTTACAATCCAGTCTGTGCAGAGAGGAAGTGGCTGGTGGGGGAAGGGCAAGTCAGAAAGGAACCCCAACTGCACCCACTGGCTTCCTTCAACTTCACCTCACAGATATCCAGCCCCTGCCCACCACTCCTGCCCCCCAGAGAACCTCTGCTCACAGGAAGCCTCTCCTCAGCCTCCACCTCAGGATCTCAAAGAAAGTCTACTTAATAAAGAAGCTGAGACAAGGAAACTTATCACAACCTGCCTCTAATTCCAATCCCACCCCATTCTAAGCCAGTGGCTCAGAGCTCAACATGCAGAATCTTGGGTAGGACTGTAAAGTGAGGAGATCCTCCTACCCGAGCCAGCCCCAGCCTACCCCTCTCCACCAGGCTGACCCTCCCTCCCAGCTCTCCATCTGCTTGATGGACAAAGGCAGGAGTTCCAGATCCCCACCCCACCAGAATGTAGCTTTCTTTTTCTTTCTTTTTTTAAAGATTTATTTATTTATACATACAATAACTGGGGTACAGGCCAGAGGTGTGGAGGTGAGAGGATTCACCAGAGACAGACTGGGGAGCAGAACAGATGGACTGACTGAAATACACTGCTGGGGGAGCAGTGGGCAAGACAGGAGAGGTCTGCTGCGCCATGTGGGTCAGCTCCCTGGCTGGGGAGCAAACTCGTGCTGCAGTAGCTGCGGATAGCTTCATAGTGCTGCGTCTTAACCCCCTGAGCCATCGGGGAGGCCCCAGAATGTAGCTTTCTAAGAAAAAATTTCCCAGTGATCTTCTCTGCTCCCAACCCCATCAGAACAACTGGGTTCTCCATCTCAGTCTCACTTGCTGCCAGCACCCCTTTTCCTCGACCCCCACCAACTGGTCAGGGCATGGAGATGTGAGGAAGAGCTGGGACAATCACAGGTCTCTGTGGCTAGGCTTCCACCCAGGGCTGGAGGCTGGGGAGCAGAAGGTTCTAACATAATTGGGAGGGGAGGTGGATGACAGAACCAGAACTAGGAGCTGGCACTGTGGTGACCCCTCTGTTAAGAAGGGAGGAGCACCTCTGCACATATGTTTCCCCTAAATCCAGAGACTTCAGTCCCCCAGGGGACCTAAGATGGGGAAAGCATGTGCTTGGAGATTTTGAGACAGAAGAACAGAACCGGGGTGGAATAGGAAGATAGCTCTCCAGCAAGACAGAGGGGCTTTCTGGCCAGGCCCTCCCCGGCCCCAGGACTGAGATGAGTCACAGGCTGTGTTGAGGAGGGCCACGCACAAGCTTGTCCCCAGCAGAACCAGCCGAGCAGCTCTGTAAGGTAGGCCCCAGCACTGACGCATGCTTGGGCACCCTTCCGGATGGATGCACACCCACCCCTGTCCTGCCGGCCACAGGCAGGGGAGTGGGGGATGGGGAAGGCAGTAGCTAATCAGAATTGGCCCTGACTCAGCTGCAAAACTCAGCTTCTGGGGCCTCCCTGGTGGCGCAAGGGGTTAAGCACCACACTGTGGAGCAATCCACGGCCTCTGCAGAATAAGTTCGATCTCCAGCCAGCCAGGGAGCAACACACATAGCACAGCAGATCTCTCCTGACTCGCCGGCTGCTCCCCTCAGCAGTGTATTTCAGTCAGTCTGCCTGTTCTGTTCCCCACTCTGTCTCTGGTGAACCCTCTCAACCCATGCATCTCTGGCCTATACCCCAGCTCTTGTATGCATAAATAAATCAATCTTTAAAAAAATAACTCAGCTTCTGTTCCTCTAAGATGGGATTGCCAACACCTTCCCTCCTCCCCAGGTCCTTTTATCTGATTCTAGATCAGAGACTCTGAACTTGCTTTGGGGATTGTTTGCACAAAGGGTGGGGGTGGGACTTGGGGGGGCCTGGAGGGCTGGAAGGAATTGCCACTTGGTTTTTTACTCACTCCTGGGACTCAGAAAGAGGATCTGACTGTTCTGTGTTATCTCAGACACAGCTGGCCGTGGTGCTGGTGAGGAGGGGTCGTCTTAAAAGTCTGGGCAGGGGCCTCAGGCCCTACAATATTAGCATCTGATTCTTACTGTCACTGCTAACATGAGGAGGCCTTCATTCCCTCACCCTCTCCCGGAGCTCCGGTGGTGGGTGCCCAGCAGTCTTCACTCCCACCAGGCATAAGCAGCCATTACCACTGCCCCTTCTCCTGGAAAGAGCTGCTGTTCCCAGAGCTGGAAGACTCACAGCTTAGTCACAGGACCCGGCTGGCTCAATCCAGCCCAGGCCTCCTCGGCACCAGCCTCTGCCACTGCTGCCAGGGAGCTGCAGTCAGCAGGATTGAGCACACAAGGCGGCTTGCGGCCAGGGAGGCATTACTTTCCATTCTCGCCACATCCCCCAAGGCAAAAAAGAAAATCAGATCAACCTGAGTGCTGGGAAGAGGGGAAAGACAGGGCAGAATAGCTCGCTGAGGATTTACCTATATAAAACAAGGAGGTATCCCCAAAGCAAGGACTGAGGAGGGTTTAGACCAGCAAAATTTTAAGTGAAATCTGCAGGACCACATGATAAATGCCAAAGGATGAGGGGCAGGGTGTTAAGGAGAAAGGAGAAGCCCCTCCACCCCCCAAAGTACAGAGATCAAGCAATTGTTTGGAGGGAAGGCTTAACTCTTTCAGTAATCTCCACCAGCCATCCTATAAACTCATTTTCTAGAAGGGCACTTGCTTTGCAAATTCAGCTTCAAGATAAGCATACCCCATCCCCACCCAAACACAGAAATCCTGAACTTTCTGTGGAGTTAGGTAAGAAGGAAAATACCACACCAAGGTTAGAGCTACAGTATTATCAGTCTTTAATAACTTACAGGCAAATGCTAAAAAATAGTTAAAAATAATACAGAGGACACACAAGGCTTATAAAAAGAGTTCTGGATCTACAAATATGAAGTGGGTTCTTGGCACTTTCACAGACACAAAATAAAGACTATTGTGACTGGCATCCCTAGAAAAACAGCCACGGGGAGCCTCCCCAGTGGAGAGAGGGTAGGGCAGAGATAGAGCTCGTTCATCCCAAATTCATTCACCAAACAACTTTCCTTTGCCCCCAAATACATCCAATCAAAAAGTCAGAGAAGGAAAACAAGAAACAGGGTCGAGGTAGAGTCACAGTTTACATTTAAGCTCCACAGTCCTGCAGCCTTCACTTCTCCAGAGATTAAGGTGGGTTTTTGGAACCCCAATGTGGTTCCAAAACAGGACCCCCAGTATGTTGCTAGGTCCTTTATTGAGGTGGACAGGTTCTGCCCCAGGGGCTGAGTGAGGGCCACAGGCTCTGCCTGGCTGTCCAAGTCAGCAGACCCTTCAGGTAGGGAGGGGGCAGCCTCAAGTCACCGTCTCCTCTTGCTTGCTCTGGATGCCTTCTTCCGCTTAAGGATCATCTCGTACAGGCGCTCAAGGCCTGGCTGCAGGCCCAGCCCATCCACAGCACTGCAGCCCTGCACGTGGGTGAGCGTGGCAGCCGCCAGCTCACGGACTGCCAGCCTCTTCTCCACCTCGGCTGCACTCAGCGCCCCAGGCTGATCCTGCTTGTTGGCCAGCACCAGCACAGGCACACCCTGATTGTCCGAGGCCCTGCTGATTCGGTGGAGCTCCACCTTGGCCTCCTCCAGGCGCTCAGCCTCAGCAGCATCCACCACAAACACCAACCCATCTGTCCGGCGTGTGTAGGAGCGCCACAGTGGTCGCAGCTTCTCCTGCCCCCCAACATCCCACACTTGGAAAGTAATGCCACGGGACCCCCCCAGGGGCACCCGGATCTTCTCTGTGTTGAAGCCTTTGGTGGGGACACTCTGGACAAACTCCTTGAACTTGAGGCGGTAGAGGAGGGAGGTTTTTCCAGCTGAGTCCAGCCCAATGACCACAACATGCAGGGCCTGGAAGTGGGGCAAGAAGGAGGTGGTAGGCGCCATCTCGGTCAGGTGGTTCCCCATGGCAGGCTCCAGCTAAAGTCTTGGAGCTCAAAGAGATGCAGGAGGAGCCCTGAATTTGCAGGCTCTGGGGACCACAGCTGAGTTATCTGAAAGGCCATGAGAGGAAAAAAATAAACATATTTGCAACTTCTTGATCTTTCCCTAAAGCAATCACCCATACTCGCTTTTCAAAATTCCTTATTTTTTTAAGCAGCTGCAGGTGTAACAGAGTAGCCCCCAAACTCTGGGAGCCCTGACAGCTGCGATGAGACCTAGAGAAACCCCCAGGTGCCAGCCAGGACACTGAAGCTGGGAGTGAGGACTCCGCCCGGCAGACGGGTGGGCTTCCAGAGCCTCTTCTCCGAGCTTGTGGGGAGGGAGCAGAAGGCGCGACTCCTTTTCCCCAGGCGAGAATCCTCATCGGAAGGGGCAGGCCAGGCAGCACCCCCAAATTAAGAGTTAGACCAGAGGTGGAGGCCGCCCTCCACAGCGCCAGCGCTTGACAAGCCCCTGCTGACCCGGCCAGCGACACCCTCGGCCCGCCGACCTCCCCGCCGTCCTCCCATGGCGGACCCCAGCTCCGCAGGCCCCCCCGGGCCGCCTCAGCACTGACCTGCCCCTTTACCTTCCGTCAGCCGCGGTCTCCCCGCGCCGCGTGGAGCCAGCGAGGAGCCAGCGAGGAGCCGCCCGCGCCGCCCGAGCCGCTGCTGCGGGGCCGCGGCGGGACCGGCCTTAAAGCCCCGGCGTCTCCCGCGCCGGCCAATCAGCGGCCGCGCCGCGGCGGGGCGGGGCGTGGGGAGTAGCGCGCGGCCGTTTCCTTTGATCTTTTCTACCTTCTTCCAGTATTTGGAATTAAACTCGGGCTTCATCCCGGCCGGGGGTGCTTTGGGAAAACGCGCCGCCGCACGTGCCGGGCGGAGAGAGCAACGGCAGTAGCTTCAGGCCGGCCCCTCCCCCACGCCGCCCCCAAAGAGAGACGTGCTCCCCTCAGGCGCGCGCTCCCCGCCCCGGCTGCTGAGACGTGCAAGTCTTCGCCCTTTATCACTCTTAAGTCAGTGGTCAAACCTGTGTGGACCTGGAACCCCATAAAACGGCCTGAGCCCATAATTCCTGTTGATCCTCGCGGCAGCCATGAGGTGGGGGCGACAGCGCCTGCCTCCCGCGTGTGAGGAAAGCGCTCAAGGGCCCCACGATTTTCCTAAAGTCACAGGCAGCGAGAGGCTGAACAAGGGTCTGTCTGAATCCGGTGCCTGGGCCCTACCCCACTTAGCCCTCGGTCTTCCTCATCAGGGAAAACCACTGGGCTGAGGAGCCTCGGCAGAAGCCACTCAGTCCTTGGGCAGAGCCGTTGACCCCACAGGCGCCTCTTGTTCCAATAAAGACTGAACTGTGAGGAAGGGTTTATAATAGATAACGGGCATTTATTAACCTCGCTCCTAGCGATCGCCCTACGTGAGCTCGAGTGTGTGGAGCAGCAGAGGATGTGCGGGTTAACGGGCTTGGCCGCAGAGGGCGTGCATCCCAGCGAGGGAGATAAGACCAGCCTGCCCTGAGGAACGGTGACAGTGTAAGACAGCACATGCAATTGGGCTTTCGTTAGTTGTGAGCGAAGCACTTGTAGGACTTCAGAGAGAGAGAAAGTATCCACTGGAAGCTTCTGGGAGGGTTGTAAGCAGTGGGGTTGGTTAGGCAGGGGCCAGAACTGGGTGGCATCTCCCCAGCCTTTGCAGCTGACCTGATATCGCCTAAGCAACCCTGACAAGATGTCACTAAGGGGCAGTGTGACCAAAAGGATAACTGATCACCTGCAGGGAGGGACGTCAAATTGAAGGAGGGGCAGGGAATCAAGGGAGAATGGAATCGTAACTCTTGTATTTCCGTTTTTACACGGAGGCTGGATTCTTGCATTTATTGTGTAATCCAATGTCATCCTTTTTAAAGGCAGTAGATGGGGGGGACTGGAGAAAGGGGAGGAGAAGGCAGTGCCAGACTGGAGGGCCGGGCCCTTCCTGCCCCACAGCTTCCCATCCTTTTAGCACCAGCCTGCTTCGCCACTTCCTTCTTCCCCTCCCCCTTCCCTGCTATTAAATCAGTCTTCTGGTTTCCCCAGCAATGCAGGGAGCCTCTCCCAATCCCTGAAGAGATCAATACCTTAGAAAAAAAATTTTTTTACATCCCCATGTTGGGCGACAGCTGCTTGCAGCAAGCGCTAAAAGCACAGGGGTGAAGCTGAGCACAGTGAGTCAGAAGAGGAGAAGACAGGGCAGGCAAAGTCGTTGGGCACCACTTCCCCGCTGAGTAGCATGAAGACCACCAGCCTCCTTCGGTTCCAGGAACTTTACCGACTTTTCCTTGTACATACTTGTGCAGAGGCTACGGATAGCTTCACAGTGCTGGGCTTAATCCCTTCCACCACCAGGGAGGCCCCTAATTTTCCTTTTTTTTTCCAAAGATTTATTTATGCATACAAGAACTGGGGTACAGGCCAGAGGTGCAGGGGGGTGAGAGGATTCACCAGAGACAGAGTGGGGAGCAGAACAGGCAGATTGACTGAAATACACTGCTGAGGGGAGCAGCGGGCGAGACTGGAGAGGTCTGCTGCCCCATGTGGGTCACCTCCCTGGCCGGCTGCAGTGGCTGCAGATAGCTTCATGGTGCTGCATCTTAACCCCTTGCGCCACCAAGGAGGTCCCACTTTTCCTTTCTTAATGCACAACTCAACTGATGAAGTAAGGAAAGGAAAATGAAGCTGAAAGGTTAGGTATTTGTCCAAGGTCACCCAGGTAGAAGTTGGTCAAACCTGGCTTTGAACAAAGGTTACAATGGTTATGAAACTGAAACTCAGAAAGGGAGAATACAGAGACACTGATACAGATTGTCTTGGTGTTTCGTCCACAATCTATGAAACTTTGTCAACATTTCTTCTTGGCCTCACACCCAAGACGGAAATTGTCACTTGGCTATCTGATAAAGAGATGAAACTGGCAATCCCTCCCCACCCTTCACCATTCATGTTTGCCAGGGAAGGTGTTGATGAACAAATGGAAAGGAGGAGGTGGAGCAGGGGAGAGATGAAGGAAGGGGCCCAGCTAGTCATGTTAACACCTGGCTGTGGGCCTCCCCTAATCATGTCTCATGGAAATAGGAACCCCAGCAGCAGCCTCAGGAGCCTAGCTCTATTAAAGACCATTATTTCCTGGCAGCCCTTTCTCTCCACAAGATCACTGCCCAGGACCATGCTAGGAGATTTGCTGCAGAGAACCTGTGAGCAGTCATATGTTGAACAATCCTATGAGTGCCTGCTGGGTGCTAGGGCCATTCAAGGTTCAGAGCATGCATCCCTGAGTGGGGTGGGTAAGGGTCTGCATTTATGGAGTGTTGCATATAGAACACAGACACACTGGTCCCTAACTCATGGGGAGGATCAACAGGGATAATGGGCTTAGGCTGTTTTAAGGGGTTCCAGGTCCACACAGGTTTGAACACTGATTTAAGAATGATAAGGGGTGAAGACTTGTTAACATCTCCTGAGTAGACCTGGCAAAGAGTCTAGGGAGGATTTGGGAGGGACAGGCAATGAATAAGACCATTTCAGACAGTGAAACGTGCCATCAAGGAAAATGAAACAGGGAGGTATGCCGAAAAGTGACTGGGGGAAGGAAACTACTACAAGTTGGAGGGTTGATCAGAAAAGCACCTCCAGGGCCTCCCCGGTGGCGCAGCGGTTGAGCGCTGGGTTGCGAAGCTGCCCGTGGCCTCTGTGGCACCGGTTCAATCCCCGGCTGCTCCCCGGCCACCGGAGGAGGGTCCCACATGGCGCGCAGACCTCTCCTGCCGCCCGCTGCTCCCCTCAGCAGTGTACTTCGGTCCTTCTGCCTGCACTGCTCCCTGCTCTGGCTCTGGTGAATTCTCTCACCCTCCCGCGCTTCTGACTGTACCCAATGCATGTATAAACAAAACAAACAAACAAATAAATAAAAACATGCCTCTATTAAAAAAAAAAGGCACCTCCAATTGGTGACAGAGTCAAAGTTTAAGAGACAAGGAGTCAGGGGCCTCCCTGGTGGCACAGGATTAAAGACAGCACTGTCAAGCTATGGCCAACCAGGCAACATGAGCCCGATCCCCCGCCAGGGAGCTAACCCACATGGTGCAGCAGACCTCTCCTGTCTCACCTGCTGCTCCCCTCAGCAGTGTATTTCAGTAGATCTGCCTGTTCTGCTCCCCACTCTGTCTCTGGTGAATCCTCTCTCTCTCACACACACACACACTGCACCTCTGGCATACACCCCAGTTCTTTTTTTTTTTTTTTTAATACCTGTGGGAATGGCCCTTTTTTTGTTTTTTAAAGATTTATTTATTTATTTATACAAGCACTGGGTATAGTCAGAAGTGCAGGATGGTGAGAGAATTCACCAGAGTGGGGAACAGAACAGGCAGACTGACGAAATACACTGCTGAGGGGAGCAGCGAGTGTGGCAGGAGAGATCTGCGTGCCATGTGGGACCCTCGCTGATAGCCAAGGATCGAACCAGTGCTGCAGAGGCTGCTGGCAGCTTCGAAGCCCAGAGCTCAACCGCTGCGCCACCAGGGAAGGCCACTACATCCCAGTTCTTGTATGCATAAATAAATAAATCTTTTAACAAAACAGAAGAGAGAGACAAGGAGTGAGGTAAGCATTCCAGACAGGACAATGCAGCTGGGACTTACCTGCTTCCTCCTGTGGCTCCCTACCCAGATCAGATGCCAGCTGCTGTGTCATGGTTCTTCCTCAGAGCTGTCTCCCCCATTAGACTGAGCTCTGAGCCCAGGAGCTGGTTCTCCTCATGTGAAGTTCCTCAGTGCTCAGCACCATGCCTGACACACAGTAGGCATTCAGGTAATCTTGCATGAATTCCTGATTGCAGGATGGGATGATTAAATGAGCTTAGGTTGTTCCCTGGGTATGAGAACAAAACATCCACCCTGTCCTGGTGTCCTTGTGCCCTTGGGGGTTCTGTTGATACTTCCTGGATTGGCCAGGAATGCCTATAAAATCCTGCATTTCTAGACAAGGTCTGGGTAGTATTGAACACTTGGTCTTCACCAGGGAAAAGGGACCTCTTGGAGGAGAAAAACAGAGGTGGGGGGGGCTGATACTGGAGAACCCACTCACCCTCATCTACCCCCCACAAGGTCTAGTGGGCTAAAACCCTGGACTAAGAGTCTTGGTGAGGCTTGTCCCTCACTAGCCAACTGACTTGGAAAAGTTACTTCCTCTCTAGGAGCCTCATTTTCCTCAGCATGTAAATGAAGAAGGGCTTAGATGATTCCAGGCCCTCTCCCCCAGGACAGCTCATGCTCTAGAGTAGGGGAGGGATGGGATGGATAGAACTCACCTAGGAAGTGACTGAGGACAAACCTGTCTCCCAGCATCCTAACCTGTCTCACTGCACAAATACTGGGAGGAAAGATGCCTGCAGTGGCCAGGCTCAGCAGGGGAGTGATGTCACTGTGGGCTTGGGGAAAGCAAAGACACAGGGGTTTTTTTGTTTTTCAAATCCCAGCTTTGTTTCCTCAAGAACACAATGAAAAAAACACAACCGGCCTTTTAGCGTGTGTGTGTGTGTGTGTGTGTGTGTGTGTGTGTGTGTGTGTGTGTAAGGGCCCCTTGGGTAACTTTCTCTCCTTCCAAGGACCTTTTCAGTACAAACTGGGAAACCCAGTCCCAGGCCTCAATTGAGGGCTACAAGTGGTTCGATGCTGCCCCCTGGTGGAGACTTGTCACTGCCTGATTTCTAAAAAAAAAAGTGGAGGCTTAAGGTTGCTTTTTTTTTAACCTCCTTCTGGAGTCTTGTTTTCAGACAGGATCTTTCCTACACAGTTTGGCGCCGGGCATGGAAAATCTTTCCCTTCCAGTTTTTTTCTTGTGGCACTGAGATCAGATGTGAATGAACATTATCTGAGCTGATAATATAATTTCCATTTCAGTTCCCATGCTTTTACTAATGGCCTAACAATAGATGCATGCAAGGCTGAGGCAGGGGGAAGCTGCTGGGTGGGAAAGGTTATGAAGAGCTCAGTTGCCACCATATTGTGCTGTCTCCAGGGATAGGTCCATGTGGGGACAGATGTCCAGCATCCACTTACATAGGAGCCTGGCCCACAGGGGAGGACTTGGCTGAAGGAGGCTACTAGGGTTGTCAGTAAGAAACAGCCATAGGCGCCAGGGAAGGGTGATCATTCCAGGGACCCTCGTTCAGGGTAAGGAACCACCAAATAAGGAAGAGGCAGGGAGGTCAGGCTGGGAGCTAAGGCCTTTGCTCCTAAAGAAACACAAAAACTGCCCAGTATCCAAGACAGCGGGAGCATGCACTCACACTGGCCTTCGGGCTTCTTGAATTCCCAACCCCGCCACCAGATGTTTTGGGTTAATTGGAATGTCCTGTCTGAAGCTCAGTTTTCTTCTCTGCTCAACGGGCATCAAAATCCCTGACCCACTTTCCCCACAGGGTGGACGGAATAAGGATCCGCAGGTAGGAAAGCTGTGAATCAGCCAGGGCCTCAGAGTCCCCTTAATGCTGCGGGAGGAGGAAGAGCAAGAGCAAGAGCGCTCAGGAAGTGGGGAGCTCAGCCTCAGCGGCCTCAGCTGTCAAACAGGATACGAGCAACACCCTCTGTCTGGTGTTGCTGAAAGACCACAAAGGGAAGGCAGGCAGGGCGCTCAGTAAGTTGGGGAGCTCTCCAGTCTAGGGTATCGGTGGCCATCTGCCTGCGGTCCAGGGGCCTCCCTGGTGGCGCAAGGGGTTAAGACACAACCTATGGAACTGTCCGCAGCCACAGCAGCACGAGTGCAATTCCCGGGCAGCCAGGGAGCTACCCCCATGGCGCAGCAGACCTCTCCTGCCTCGCCCGCTGCTCCCCCCAGCAGTATATTTCAGTCAGTCCGCCTGTTCTGCTCCCCACTCTGTCTCTGGTGAATCCTCTCACCACGCGCTCCTCTGGCCTGCACCCCAGCTCTTGTATGCATAAATAAATCAGTCTTTAAGAAAAGAAAAGAAACCTGCTCTCCAGCACACACGCTGTCTCAGCCCGGGATGCCCGGCGCCTGCGGGGGGGCACTCGCCCGCCCGTGCCCAACTGCACCTCCGTGCGTCCTTCTCAGGAGGTCCTAACCCATCTTGGGTTTCCAGGCCTGACGCGCCACTGTCAGAAACACGGCGCAGCAGCCCCGACCTCTGCGGACAGGGATCCGGCTGCCTCTCGTCTCCCGGGGACCACCTCAGGGACGCCGCTTCGGGGCCCGATTATCCACCAGCCACCGCTCCCTCCGCCCACGGTCTCTGGGCGCGTGCGGGGTGCAACCACGTCAGAAGAAAAACACTTTTCAGCTCCAGCAGGAAGGGCGCCTCCTTTTCTCGCGTCCAGCCACTGCGGGGCCCGCTACCCCGGCTACTCGGGGGCGGGCGCGAGGCGGGGCCGCCGCGCCGTGGCCACGCCCCCGGGTGGGCGGGGCATGTAAATTTCAAGCGCGGTTCCGCCCGGGAGCGCCCGAGCCCCGCCGCCGCGGAGCCGGTTCCCTCTCGAAGGCGGGCGGTGGGGCGGGGGCGCGAGGCCTGGAGTCCAGGGGCTCCCGGGCGCGCCCGGGAAGCCGGGGCGGTGGGCGCCGGAGGGCGGCGCGACGGGTCACCGTGAGTTGAAGGTGGGCGAGACGAGGAGGGCGAGGAGGCGGGCCGGCTGGCAGGCATCGCTTCTCGGCCTTTTGGCTAAGATCAAGTGTAGTATCTGTTCTTATCAGTTTAATATCTGATACGTCCTCTATCCGAGGACAACATATTAAACGGATTTTTGGAGTTGGGAGATGGAATAGGAGCTTGCTCCGTCCACTCCGCGCATCGACCTGGTATTGCAGTACCTCCAGGAACGGTGCACCCCCTCGGGGAACAAGCGGGTGAAAAAATCAGAACTTAGTCTCAACACAAGCTGTTTTCCAGCTGCGTTTGGGGGGTTGGTCTCCCGAGGAGCGAGCTGCTGTGGCTGCTGCGAGTTCTCGCTCTCCTTAGATGGGAAAGCGCTTTCGTTTTCTTTCAGCGGGACGAAGGGCTAGTAGGGCGGGTTTACTCTCCACGTTGCCCGGCCGCGGTGCTAAAGTGGGGCAGCATTCAGGCCCCAGTCCTGCCTTGTTCTCACAGGCCTTAAGGTGGTCCACAGCACCCAACCTTCCTCCTTGCACACCCAAGTCTGCTCATGCACACGAGGTGCACGTGCAGCCTAAACACTCGAGGGAATCGAGGAACCGGAGGTCGCTGCTCAAAAGCTACGACCAGGGAACCGGCTTTTCGGAGGCGCAACTGGGGTCGGGGGCGGGGGTGATGAGACTGGCACCTTGCTTTTAGTGCTGAGTCAGGCGCACAGACACGCGGGGGCGGGGGGCGGGCAGGCCCTCGCTCCTAAGGAAACACAAAGGCCTGTGCCCAGGCTCCAGGCTGGTGGGCGCATTCCCAGCAACCTTGCTTGACGTGGGCGTTTTCATTTCAGAGTTCTCTGCCCAGCTCCCCATGTTGGCTCGCGACCCCGGAGGAGCAGGCAAGACGACCACCTTCAAACCGTGGTTCTCCAAAGTGGACAGGACATTAGAATCATCAAGAGGATCTGCTAGGACACAGGCTGCCGGGCTCCCCTCCCGGAACTTCTGAGTCAGTCCATGTCACAGGCGAGTGGAGCCCCAGGCGTTTGGTGCCTCTCACCGGCCTCCCCCGTCCCGCCCGGTGGCCATTTGGCTGGGAATCTCAGCTCTGGCCCTGGGCTGGACTCTCCTCGCAGGCAAGAAGAGAAGGCTGCGTGGTCCCTTCTTACCTGCCCAGGGCTGCACATCACGTCACAGGCAACTCATGTGTTCAGAGTGGGGGTGATGGCGGGGAGTCCAGAGACCTGAGGGCGCAGAATGCCAGGGTAACCACCTCCCCATCTGTCCAAGACTTTGCCGGTTTTAACACTCCAAGCCCCACATTCCAGGAAGCCCCTACTTGCAAGTCTCATCCCAGTGGGGTAACAACTGTCCCAGCTTACCTTGGAAGGGGAGGCTATGGTGGAGGGTTATCGGTGCGGTGCGGTGCGGTGCGGTGCGGTGCGGTGGATCCACCTGAAGCCGCATCGCCGTATCAGCACACATCCCTAAACCTGCAGTGTTGGAAACCAACATTACCGCAATGAAATAAGTAATTCCCATTAGAAAGAAAGAAGGGTCTGATTGTCCGGGCCTCAAAAACCAAGGTCCTGGAAGTGAAGAGCAACCACACAGTAGGGGGTGGGGGGAGGGTTGGGAAGGGAGAGGAAAACAGCTCAGGTCCGGTATGTTCTCTCGGCGTGCAAAGGGGCGCTCGACGCCCCACGCCCACCCCACCCCCGCCCCCCGTCCTCGACCCGCGGCCTCTCTCCTCTCCCAACTCCCTCTCCAGCCGCCGGAGTCCCCCGCCACCCCTGCAAGCACCCCTGCAAGCACCCCTCCTACCGCGAGCTCGGGGGCGGGCGCGAGGCGGGGCCGCCGCGCCGTGGCCACGCCCCTCGGGTGGGCGGGGCATGTAAATTTCAAGCGCGGTTCCGCCCGGGAGAGCCCGAGTCCCGCCGCCGCGGAGCCGGTTCCCTCTCGAAGGCGGGCGGTGGGGCGGGGGCGCGAGGCCTGGAGTCCAGGGGCTCCCGGGCGCGCCCGGGAAGCCGGGGCGGTGGGCGCCGGAGGGCGGCGCGACGGGTCACCGTGAGTTGAAGGTGGGCGAGACGAGGAGGGCGAGGCGGCGGGCCGGCTGGCAGGCATCGCTTCTCGGCCTTTTGGCTAAGATCAAGTGTAGTATCTGTTCTTATCAGTTTAATATCTGATACGTCCTCTATCCGAGGACAATATATTAAACGGATTTTTGGAGCTGGGAGATGGAATAGGAGCTTGCTCCGTCCACTCCGCGCATTGACCTGGTATTGCAGTACCTCCAGGAACGGTGCACCCCCTCGGGGAACAAGCGGGTGCAAAAAAATAGAGAGACTCTCCTTATTGTTTTCGCCTTTCTCTTCTCGGTGGCTGCTGGCGTGTGGCCTTGCTCTGTTCTCTGCCTTGCCCTGAGGCCCACCGGGTTCTTTTAACGGGCCGCCGGGCTTCGCTGCCTGCTGTGCTGCTGCTCCTGCGGGCCCGGGGCCGCGCCGTTCCGGACGCACGCCTGGGCTGTGCGGCGAGGTAAGGTCGGCGTCTAGCTTTTGCCAAAAGACCATGCGTGTCGCTGAGGCTGCCGGGCGGCCCCTCTCGCAGGTGGAGAGAAGAGAAAGGTCCGACGCGAGCCCTTCCCTAACCTGAACTCCAGGGCCAGCTTAGCTTCCAAGAACTTGAGTTACTCCAGCACACGCACGAAGCATCCCCGGCACGAGGAGGAAAACGAGGGGCCGACCCCAGGCAGCCGGTGTGGCCGCCTGGAGTCTTCCGGGTTTTGGGCCTCTTGAGAGCAGCAGGGTTTTGTCTGGGGAGTCCTGCCCAGGCCTCGGCCCGGGACCCTTCCTGTTTCAACTTGGAAAAGCACGACGCGGGGGCCTCCCCTGTGGCGCAGCGGTTGAGCGCTGGGTTGCGAAGCTGCCCGCAGCCTCTGCAGCGCCGGTTCGATCCCCGGCTGCTCCCCGGCCACCGGGGGAGCGTCCCGCATGGCGCGCAGACCCCTCCTGCCGCCCGCTGCTCCCCTCAGCAGTGTACCTCGGTCCTTCTGCCTGCTCTGCTCCCCGCTCTGGCTCTGGTGAATTTTCTCACCCTCCCGCGCTTCTGACTGTACCCAGTGCTTGTATAAATAAATAATTAAATCTTTAAAAGACAAGCAAAGAAAAGCACGGCGCGGGGAGGGTGGGCCGCCGGCGCCCGAGCCTGGTGTATCTGTTCTTACCAGTTTAATGTCGGATGTGTCTCCTCGCAGAGGACGGGACAGCAGGTGGGGTTTTGGAGCAGGGAGTTTGGAAGAGGAGCCTGTTGCGTCCACGGCACGCACGGACCTGGCCCTGCAGCCCCTGCAGGGACGGTGCGGGGGCCCCCTCTCACTGCCGCGCTCTCCTCTGATGGGGAGCGGACGCTGCCTGTTCTCATACGGCCTCTACTCTTTCTGCGGGGCGTCCTGTGTGCGGACCCTGGCCCAGCCCCCCCGCACAGCCCGGAGGGCTGGAGAGCTCTTCCTGGAGAGCTCGCGCTCTCTTGCCGTGGGAGCCCATGTGCGGGTCTCCCCTGGCCTTTGACCTTGGAGCATTTTTCAAATCAGACTGAGGGACTTTGCTAAAGTGCCCATGTTACCGCTCTGCGCCTGGTGCTTTTACTGCATTAGCTCCTGCTTTGATGGAGGTGGCCTCTCCTGGTAACAGGCTCAGGTAAGTGAGTGCGGCCGACCGCCAGGTTCCTGGGCTCCTCGCCACTCAAGCCTGCTTGTCTCAAGTTGTGCACCCAGTCACTGAAGTCCTGCCCCTCCGACCACCCCTATGCCCAGGGTTTCTCTCTCTCTCTGTCTCTCTCTGTCTGTCTCTCTCTCTCTCACACTCACACACACCCCGCTTCCAGACTCTCACCCTGTTGGGCTCTCTGCACCCTTTTTTAAAAAAGCATTTATGGGCCTCCCCGGTGGCGCAGCGGTTGAGCGCTGGGTTGCAAAGCTGCCCGCAGCCTCTGCAGCGCCGGTTCGATCCCCGGCTGCTCCCCGGCCACCGGAGAAGGGTCCCACATGGCGCGCAGACCTCTCCTGCCACCCGCTGCTCCCCTCAGCAGTGTACTTCGGTCCTTCTGCCTGCACTGCTCCCCACTCTGGCTCGGTGAATTCTCTCACCCTCCTGCACTTCTGACTGTACCCAGTGCTTGTATAAATAAAATAAATCTTTAAAAAATAAATACATACATACATAAATAAATAAATAAATAAATAAATAAAATAAAAAGGCATTTATTTTGCATAGAACTGGTTTAGGCCAGAGGTGCAGGGGTGGGGTGGGGTGAGAGGATTCAGCAGACATAGCGGTGAGCAGAACAGGCAGATCTCCTGAAATACACAGCTGAGGGGAGCAGTCAGTGGGAGAGTCAGGAGAGGTCTGCTGCGTCATGTGGGTCAGCTCCCTGTCTGGGGATCGAACTTCTGTCACAGTGGCTGGCCATAGCTTGATAAGGCAGAGACTTAACCCCTGTGAGTGTTGGAGTGGGGGGAGAAGCTTTTTGTGAATCATTTATATAAGTAAACATGAAAGACAGTGGGAAATGGATTCATGAAAACTGACCTACGCATTTAAACACAGAAAACCCACGCTCTCTGTCCTGTCTCCCAGGCGTCCATGGACAACACCCGCCAAGCTGCAATGAACTGCTCGCTGTCATACCCGGCCTGTGACATTTTTAGAGACGTGACCAGGAAACTCTCCCTTGAGTTTCTAGGGCAGCCGGACTGCGGGGAAGTAAATATACGCGGACACCGGGAGAGAAGGGCTGGTGGGCAGAGTCTGATGGGGACAGTCCTCTGGCGCCAGCCTCCGGGTTGACGAGGGTGGCGGGTCGTGGGCCGCTGCACCCTTTCCGGCGCGGTGTGCCCGGGGGTGGCCGAAGCGCCCCCCTCCTTCCCCGCGCCCCTCGACGGCCTCCAGATCGCCTCGCGCCAAAGCGGCCTATTTCCGGGATGGCGGGTTCTGCGGCCTTCGCCTCCACAACCTCTCCCAAGCCCCCCGCACCCCAATCCTCACACCTGTTACCGAGACGCCCACGGTGAGCAGCCTCTCCTCGTCGTCCTCGTCGTCTTTTGTCTGGATGCGCCGAATGTTTTCACTTGCTCCTCTCGCGCGCTTGCGGTGCTCCTCGACGGCAGCCGCGGCCTGCGACGCTCCGCCGCGCTCCTTCACTGCCACGCGGCCGCCACCAGTGTGGCCGCCTCACGGGGTGTGGTGCCCCTCCCTGTCGGAGCGCGGCGGCCCCCCCATTCGCCTAGTTCTTATCGGTCACCAGCCTCCAGTCAGCCGGCCGGGTGCTCGGCACCAAGGGCCTCCGCCCACCCGACAGCCGCCGGCCCAGCGCGGTGGGGCGCGCGCGCGGAGCCGGGCTGGGCGCTCGTCCCGGGCTGGGGCAGCCTCGCCGCCTCGCCGCGCCGGGCCCGGGCCACGGGCGGCTGGGCGGGCGGCCTCACGAAGCCGTGTTCGCGGCTGATCACCCTCGGCGGCGATGCGGGCCGGGAGTGGCTTTCGGCGGGAGCCGAATCTGGAACGCACGCGAGGCGCTGGCTGGGACGGAGCGCCCTCCTCGCCTACCTTGATTTTTTTCCTGCAGCGCGTCGTCACCCCAGCGGAGGTCACCACCGCCGTTCGTTCCTGGCGGCCTTTGGCCGGACGGTGCCGCCAGGTTCCTAGGAGGGTGCGCCCCAAGGACCCGCGAGTCACCCCACCCGGCAGCGGCGGGGCGTTGCAGGGGAAAAGGTTTTCAGACTTTTCTGCCCTCCCACCACTCGGACTGCCCCGCCTGCTGGGGCACCTGCAGCTGTTACATTGTTGTGTTGTTTACGTCTGTGGGCCGCGGGAGCAGCGTTGAGACCGGCGTGGAGAGCAGCAGAAACAGGAGAGGAGAGAGGCGGGAGAGAAGGAGGGGCGAAAGAAGCCAGAGAAGCCCAGACAGAGTTGAAGACTTGGGGTGGGGGGAGGGGGGCTTGGAGGCCTGCGCGCCTCCTGCCTGCCGTGCACCTGGTTGCTGCAATGCGCGTCAAGCTCCATGAAAGCCTGAGGAAGCCACCGAGGGCGCCAAGGCTCTCCTTCACCCGTCTGCCGGCTCCCAGGTAACCTGCTCCGCGCCCTTCCTGCCCCCACAGTTGGCATAAGTCGACAGGATGATCCTATGCAGACGGGTGTGGAGCCCTCGGAAGACCTCAGGAGAGACTGAGGAGCAGACTGTGTTTGCCTGTGACTGCGCTGGACGTGTCACGGCAGCGCAGGTGGTGACCAGAGTCCGGGAGCTGCTGGAAGAGCTAGAGATGCTGCAGCACAGGAGGTGGACCGGGTCCGGGAGCTGCGAGGCAAGACCTCAAGTGGAGGAGGAGATGGCCCGCAAGGACCAGCCCATGACCCCTGAGGCAGCAGAATCGTTCGGGAAGAAGGGAAAAAAGACTGATGGACTTGGACTGACAATCCCGCCAGAAGGGAAGGTGGAGGAACTTTGGCAGGGTAATGTTAGGTTTTGGGGGCCCTGGGGGTGGGGGATGGTATGGCTTGTACACCCCAGGAGATGGGAATCTGGGGGTGGCCAGTGGGCCTTGATGGCCAAAAGCAGCCTGTGTACGGCCCAGCAGCTAGGCAGAGGGGGAAAAAAGCCAACACAGAAAGGCAAAAGCTGGTGCTGAGATTGGGGAGCCCTGAGCGGCTAAGAAGCCCGCCGAGTATGATGCTAAAGAAGGCCAGTGAGTCTCTTAAAATCACCTGTGGGTGATGCCCTGCTCACTGCTGAGTAAGGGTGAGGAGCTGAGGAACCCATCCTTGGGGGAGGGGTGGGGAATGTGGCTTGTGGT